AACCTCTCCTCCTTTAAATTTGAGTGTTGTGTACTTTGTGTCAGCAATGAGAAAAGTAACTAAGACAGTGAGGGATAATAAAGAGACAAGATACAGCAAATGATAGGAGAGGAGGTTTGGAGGAGAAGGCAGAGAAGCCTTATGCTTTGATTTGGATCTGAAACATCCACAAAACTCTCAAGTACTCAGAGGTGGGGCTTTGGGAGGGTGGTAGATCATGGGGATGCTATGCTCATTGGTGGATTCATCCACTGGTGAGTTCAACACCTAAGTGTGCTGTTGGGAAGTTGGGCCTGGTTGGAGCCTGGTCACTGACTTTGTGACCTGGAAGGGTTTGTTTTCTTTCCCAGCCGCTCCCTTCTCTTTCTGCTTCCTGCCCACCATGACATGAGCTGCCCTTTAGCAGCACCATTTCTGTGTTTGAGCCTGCCAACTATGGACTGAAACATCTGGAACTGTGAGCCAAAGTAAATCTCTCCTCTTTTAAATTGTGGGTGTTAGGTATTTTGTCTCACTGACAAGAAAGTGACTAAGACACCTTTTAAGGAATTTTGCAAAGTGTCTGTTGTGAAATGTGGTGTAGAATGCCTCACCTCTGACTATAAAATTCTTACTCTTGTTAATACATGAAATGATGAGCTGAGTGTAGCTTTCATATGGGTGGAGGGGTCTCATGCCTGGTTACTCACTCTTCATTCTGCAAGCATTTAAGTGCTACTCTGTGCTTAGAACATCTGCGCTAAGCCAGAAACCCTTCATCTGAACCGCACAGGTATAAAAGTGAACTTGACAAGCTGTTCTTTCCATGTTGATTCATGGGTCCAGTGGGGCTTCACATGTCCGGGTACATGCAGTTACAGAACTTTAAAGGAAAGGTGAGGATTGTAATGAGAGCTTTTAGGTAAGCAAGGACTTTCAAAAGTGCATTCCTGAAATGCATCTGTGGGTTAGCCCCTCTGCTTAGGCACACCTAGGGAAAATATTCCAAGCCATTCTATTTTGACTTGTAAATATATTGACAGCAAAGCAGCAAACTTCCTGTCCAAGTCATATTCCTCTTATAATAGTAAAATTAATTTCTGTCTCTAAAGCTAAGCTGAGAAATATATGAATGCAATGATAGGAAATCTTCCAAGTAAGGGGTAAAAAACCACCATGGATAAACTACCAAGAAGAGAGTGCTTATACTTTCTTGACTAACTTTTCAAGTATTGATTTTCCAATCTTTCTCCCCTTTCACAGTTTTAGAGAAAGGTGTCTGGAGGACATACCACTGATTATATGCCAGCTAAACAAGAGGTGTTATTATTGTAAAGCAGTGAGTCAACAATGATTTACTGGGATCTGCCAGGCTGATGTCATGATGGCCAAACATGCAGATATGTGCACAGGCCCATTAAACTTCCATTGGCTTGGGAAGTGTAGCAACCTATGGGGAGTTAGGCCTTCTGTTTGTTGGTATTCACCAGTGTCAATAGACTCAGTAAGAAATATGTAGAGACTCTGTTATAATTGACAATATCACTTGTCTTTTGAGATGCTAAGAATACTATATTTTTCTAAGTGCTATTGTCTTACTTTGGAATACAGATATGAACCACCATTTTAAAGCTCATTTATCTAACAACCTTAAGCTATCTGGATTGAATGTAAGGTAAAAGAAAGGAGAAAGGAGAAGATGGAGAGAAGGGTAGCAAAAGAAAACTCCAAAGCTGGAAATACTTGAATTCTTGACATTTCATTTCAAAAAAAGTTCTTGAGCAGCTGTAAGAGCTTAGCCTGGATTCAGTCTCTATGGTATCCTGTATCCAGCACTTCAGACTGTAATTATTCAGCTCCTAAATGACCTCAAAACTCCTTGGAAAATTTTAGTCAGGAAGAAGGGGAAGGGAATAATTTTAGCATTATGTATCCTTTTGATTAAAATCAAAGTTTTGTTTCCTGAATGGTATGTTTTCATTAAAAACATAAACAAAAATGCATTTTTACTTAAAAGTCCACAAGCTTAAAAACTTAAAAGAAAATGAGCCAAGGATCATGGTTTTCTTGCCATTTGAAGATTTCACAATTAAGGTTCTACCTGTTCTTGAGAGCTCTCACATTTCCTTGATTTCTGCTATTGAACTTTTTGTTCACTTAGTAAGCAACCACTTTACTAGCCACATCTCAGTGGGCTTTGTATCCACATTTCTGGGCTCAAATTCATGCACATGAAAAGGTTATTGAGGAATCAAGACAATCTCATAACATATCCTTCGGTAATTTAGAGGGCATACTGAGTAATGGGAAGAACTGTGCTGCTCAGGGCAAAGTCCTCTTTCCATAAACTTGTGAATTATGATAGTGTATTCTGTATGGCCTTATAAAAACATTCAGTCAATCACTCAACAAATGTTGAAGAACTATGAACATGTATGAAGATGATACTATGGGGGTGCTAAACACGTGGAGGAAGCTAGACTGAGATACGCTGGGACTTCGATGATGGAGTTCAAGATGGCACAGTGGTAGGCAGTAAACCAGGTGTCATGTTTCCATTATTCATAGCTCTTCTACTTGGTAAAGGATAGAAGGATGCGCACCTAAAAAATGGCCAGAGGTAGGAGAGTTGGCGTGGCAGAACTTGACAGATAACAGAACTTTAGGAAAAAAAAATCAAAATCAAAACCAAAACCAAAACCAAACAACAACAACAAAAAACTAGAATGCCAAGCAGAGAGATGCTTTGCTCCACTCTGGGGAAGAGATGCCAGGGAGTGATTGTCAGGGTTGGTCATGGGACAGGCTGGGAGAGTCATAAGTTGAATAAAAAGGCCAGGGACCAGATTAAAGGTTATACATTGGATTGTGGCACTTTGGCCAAATCTTGGACAAAAATTCAAATTCTATTCTTAATTCTAACTCCCCCATTTAGGGATTTTTTTCCCTTTTCATTCTTTCACAAGCATTCTTTTTATCCTGAAATTGTACTGTGTTTCTTGGCCATTCTTATGACTACTTTCAAGTTCCTGTCTGTATTTTCATGGCTATTCACTGGCATCAGAAGCATCTTTGCATATCAAACATCATATTGGGTAAGGTGTGGAGGATTATGTGGAGTAGATGTATGGGAACGAGGACAACTAAGAGATAAGAATCCCTCAGGGTGCCCTTGGAGATAAGCTGGAAGAATGCACATCTACCCTCTCCTAGGGTGACAGCTTCCAAGTGAAATCACAGGTGAGTCTATTACCAACACTTCCCCGTCTCTGCATATTTGTGGAATGGAAAAAGGATTTCTAGTTAAACTATTACCCTAGAATGTAAAAATAGTAAAAAAATTAAATTGTATAAAAATAAATGGGAAACTAAATCCCACATCTCTCATGTAAACATGTGGTCAATAAACAAGTGCATATAGAAAGAAAAAGTAGAATACAAATACTTCCGGTACTTTGCAGCACAGTTCAGACTACACAGTGCTCTTGCCTTCTCAGTCTCCAGAAGGGAAGGACCATCAGAGATGCAGCATTTCTTTGTCCTCCCTCATTTGCTTTTCCTTCAAGTAAATAGCTTGGGGCATTTGACCTCAAATGGCAGAAGCCCAGAAAAGAGAAAGAAACCCACAGAATGCTGGCTGGGTTGACTCACCTGTTTGAAGTTCCCAGAGCTTTGAGCAGGGCTCTTTTACTACAAGGTCCTGTTGTACCTAAAGCACTTTGACAACTATGACATTTCTGTAGGTATTTGCTGGTATTTAATCTGAACACTGTCAATTTTAGTCCATTTTCACAAAACACAAAAGCTCCTGCTGGGCTGAGGTAACTTTAAGCAGGGTTTTGATAGGGATGATTTTTATCCTCAGCCTGGGGACATTTGACAACCTTTGGAAATATTATTACTTCTACTGGAGAGAAATGTTATTCTCAGAACCTTAGGCAACTTCTGAAAACACGCCACACACCAGGCTGTGATACTTCTGGCTGAGTTTCAAGCCACTGTAAGGTGGTGTCCTATTGGACACAGAGTGGTGAGAGATAGAGATGTTGTTAAGTATCCTACTTAGTGCCCACAAAATCCCTACCACAAAAGCTTATCTGGTCCAGAATGTCAGGTACGTTTAAAAAACTGGTCTAAAAGGGAAGATCAGATGTTTTTGACATGAACTGGCTGCTGGCTGTCAAAGGGTCATGACTTTCTTATTGTTGAAAGACTAGTAAACACAATGAGATAGACCTAAGAATCCAAGAAAATTTTTGTCTAGCATTTTCTTCAACCAAGGACATAGTTTCACATCTTCAAAAGCTCTTACATTTCTTTATGTCCTCTGAAAGAGGGAGTGTGCAGCCTCAGGATTACACACATCAAATTTTACTCAAAGGTTGAACCCATTTGACTATAGTAAACACAGAGGCATGCCAGGGTTTTCTCCCTCTATAAAATAGAATCATAATACTTCATGACTGTTTAATAACTTGTCTTAGCGTCGTAGGATTTTTTTTTCTGTTAGTGGAAAAGGAAGATCCAGAGATTGTCATATTTGTGTCTTGCCATATGTGGGCTGGGAAGGAGAAGACCTACAGCAGTGGCAACATTAGGGAGGCTGAGAGGGAACCCAGAAAATAGTGACAGAATTTGTATAAAGCTGCTAGGGAAATAAAAGCAAACACAATATTTCTTCCTGATTGCAAGAGTAACACAGTCCTCATTGGAAATCTCTCAAGTACACAAAACTATAAGGAGAAAATAAGAATTCCCTAATTGTACCACTAGGAGATATCAAATATTAATACCTTTATTTTTTTGCTTTTAGAAAACAAAGAATGGGATGAGCATTGGTTGTCTGAGCTAGACAGGTGGGGAGACTGAAAAGGTCTTTGAGGACAGCAGAATAGCCCAGTGTGGACTTCAACAGGTTTGAGATGATCTCTGAATCAACACGGTTGAGTCCCTGCCTTTGCCTGAAAGAAATAGGCAATAGGGAGGTGTGACAGGGGCATACAGAGTCAAATTCATCCTACCTTCAGGGCTCATGTGCAAAACATCCTGAGTGCTCCACTCCATGAATGGGAGAAAAGTCCTTTACCTGAAAGAGGAAATAAATCATTTTGCTCACACGTGACAAAGTGGAACCTGTTGTCTTTGTCTCTCCTTGTCACACTGAGCACGCTAAACACTGTCACTGCAGGGAAAGGTATATAGTTGCTCTCACTTTCTGGAATTAATATTTTGGCAACTTTATTGTGAAGTAATTTCTTCTTTTTTGCCATCCAACTTATTGGTACATTTAAAGCAAACAGTTATGTTTATCACTGGGATCTTGTACCTTTACATGATATATCTTGGTTCTTGTTTCTTCCCCATACCCCTGCCCTCCCTTCACCCAATTCACCCTTTATTGTGAAGTAATTTCAATCTTAGAAAAACTATACTAAAATGGTAAAAAAGAAACCCATGTAGCCTTCACCTTGGTACCCTATTGTTAATATTTTGCCACATGTGGCTTATCATCCTATTTCCGTGTATAAAAATTATTTTTTCTAAATCATCTGAGAATAAGTCACAGTCATGATAATTTTTTCAGTATAATTACTAATTTTATTTGTTTTATGGCTTCTGGACATTTTAATTGCAAATTTTTTTACCTTGTAACTGTACCGGTGCTATAAACTAAGACATTTATTCCATGTTTACTATATTAGGTAACATTTTGGCAAACATGCTCAAGTTGAACCAGAAGTAAGGATATTTTCCTCTGAAAAGGGACTGTATATTTAACAAGTTTGTGAAATATATATGTATCTTTCTTGACCTGTTTAAGCATTCTAGCACATAAGTATGAGAAAGGTCCAGAAGGAGCCAGAACTAATCCCCTCCTGGTCCATCTCGCAAGCTTGGTGCTGGTGGACAACAGCAGTGAACAAGTGTCAGAAAGAGGATTATAGCACGAGACCCAAGACTTCAGAGTCAAAACCAAGCAATTAACCTTTGTGAGTCTCAGTTTTCCCTACCATAACATAGGGATGATGATTTGCATTGCAGGGCTATGCAAACTTCTCAGGTGCTCTAGGTAAGTGATACAACACGTTGTAATATTATCTAACATTTTCAAAGCAATTAACCATGTGCCAGACATTTTCTGCACATAAAACATGTGCAACACATCAGAGAATGATTATGACTACCACACTTGAATGCAGCAGGCACCATGCAGTCTTTTTTTTTTTTTTATTCATTGAGTTTATTGGCACTTTCTAAGTGTGCAGCACAGTTACATTCATCATTAGGATCTTGTACCAATACATGACAGGTCTTGGTTCTCATTTTTTCCCCATACCTCTGCCCTACCTTCATCCCCTCCACCCTCCCCTATTTACAAAGACTTTGTTTCCATTTTTTGCTTTTCTTATATTTTTTTCTTTTATGATAATTCTTTTGTTCTTAAATATTTCAGTTTGTTTTCCTAAGAATAAGACAGTCTCTTACATAAATGTATAATGATTAAAATCAGAAAATCAACACTGATCTAGTATTGGTATCTGATCTGTAGATACAAATTTTTCCAGTCAACCTAGCTGGGATTAGGTTTTATGAAAATTGACACTGGGCACCATGAGTGAATTTATTAACAGATTTTGATGTAGCCACAGATGAATTGTGACTTTGATCACTTTTCCCCGAAGCTCAAATTTGATTCTTTCTCTTTCAAATAATTTCTAGGTTTTTGAAATCCAGAATCTTAAGAATCAACTGATGGGGCTGGGGATTTAGCTCAGTGGTTCTGCCGCCTGCCTCACAAGTATAAGGTCCCAAGTGCAATCCCTGCTACCAAAAAAAAAAAAAAAAAAAAAAAAAAAAAAACATAAGGAAATCAGTGCTGAATATTCTCCATACTGACTCAACTGACAGAGTAAGGCACTGCTGGGAGGAAGCTGGTGATGGCCAGTAGTGGCTTCCTACTTTTGAGAATCTGTCTCTTACATATGTTCACCACTTTCTAAACAGTGCTGCTATTGCCAAACTGAACTGAGAGTCCATACCAGATGCCTTTGCAATCAAAGCTTAGGCTGTGATGGGTTCCATTTGAGTAAGAGAAGTCCATCTCCAGGGTTTTGGTTAATGAGGTGTCTGTCGAATTCAGAGCCTTTGACAAAGATGTCTGGGGAAGGCTTCTCAGAAGCCATGGATTTTTCTCCATAGAGTCCAGTGACACTGAAGTTTTCACTTTTAAGAACTAAATATTTGAGAATGCATTTTAGGTTCTGGAAATTATTTCAGATCTCTGTTTGATAATGTCTTATCTCTGTTCAGAACAACTCCGTTTCCTCTCTGTTACCTTCTGTATAAAATGCAGTCTATTTTTACACTTCCAATGGGAAACCTGGAGGGTTTAGCAGAGATCAAGGAAGGGGACAGAGTGGGACACAGGATGAGGGTGCACTGGGGTTGGAGAGTCTGCCACACCAAGAAACAGAAATGAGGGCTTCCTGGAAAGAGGGCATGAAGGGGGTCATATATTCTACCATTTAACAAGCATTTGTTGAGTGATAGGCCTTGGGCTCGTGTCATCCATCCATCTATTATATACTCAGTGCATATTAAATGCATGGCATTCTGTGTAGCCTTGGGCATTCTCTGCTCTGGCTCAGACAATTCTTCTTTATCTGCTCTGTGTCCTATGTGTCTGACTCCCATGGCTTCCTTGCCCTCAGGTTCAAGTGGGGATCCAGTCTTTAGCTACATGTGATGTTGGGAGGTGACGCTTGGTTGGAGGAGTGGTTCACCTCAGGTGGTGTTCCCTGGAAGGACATATATCTCTACCTTTTCCTTTGACCTTTCTCTGCTCCCTGATGCCATACCACGAGCTGTTTCTCCTCTTCCATGACCCTCTGACATACTTCCCTGCCTTGGAACCAGCTGACTAGGGATTGAAGCCTCTACAAACTATGAGCCCAAACAAATCACACCCTTAATTTGTGTGTGTCAGATATTGTGTTTCAGCAACAAGAAAAGTAACTAAGACATACATTCTCCTAAAAATTTCACCTGAGTATACTCTCCCTTTCCTGTTTGACCTGACTGAGATAATCCTTGAATATATGCGGAATGGTGTCTGAGTACTCTGAACAAACTAGACAGATGTAAAGTTTTACACATACTTTCCAACCCTAGGATACAACCATGATAGGCGGGGAGACAAAACCTAACTGAAGTTCCTAGGATAAATATATCAGAGATCAAGTGCTTCATATAGCTCTGTATTGTATTTCAAAAACCAATCTAAGCTCTGGCTACATTATTGGAAGTGTGACATCAAGAGGAAAGAGAAGACAATCTTAGCTTAATTCTGCCTCTCTTAGCCTCCACTTGGAGTCCTGTGCTTGGTCCCTTGCTTATCATTTTGAGAGGAGACATGTAGGTTAACTTTTTTTTTCAAGAGCTGAGTAGCAGATATTTTCACCTTGTGGGGTATAAGTTTTCTGCTACAAGGACTTTCTCATTGCAGAACAAAATACAGTTGTAAACAATACATAACAAATAGGCCTGACTGGGTTCCAGTAAATCTTTATTTACAAATATAAACAGTGGGCTAGATTTGGCCAGCAGGCCTTATTTAGAAAGGAAAAATAGGGGTTGATTCCAAGTAGGTCCAGAAGGCAGAAGTTGGATCAGTATGTAAAAATCATAGTGTTGTAGATTTGTGCTAATGTGAAGAATGATCTTTGCAGTGGTAATGGTAGTCCTTAGTAGAATAAGCTGTTTTAGGGGGAGTGGGTATCATTACTGTATGAGTTCAAAGCAGAGGCTGAGTGTAGTACATATGACAGTTTTCTGCAGAGCAAGGAGGGTAAGTCAGAAGATGTGGAAGGCAATAGTACCTCATATTTATGTACACTCAGAATAATACTGCACAGGTGAATCTTCTAGACTCCGTGTTATTAGAAGGAACAATATTGTGTTATATTTATCCTTGCATCCCTCTCATTCTTTGTTTGTTTGTTTGGTTGGTACTGGGGATCAAACTCAGGACCTTACACTGGCGAGGCAGGAAGTGGAACCACTGAGCTAAATCCCTGGCCATCCCACTCATTCTTAAAAGCCTAGTACAGTTCTATAAACATGATGGGTGCGACCAATTCATGTTTTGTCAGTTTGACTCTTTAGGTAAAATATGGCTGACATATTAATTAAGCTAATTTCTTCAGTAATTTATCTTTAGTCATATTAAATCATTTCAGTTACCTCTAATAAGCTTCAACATTGGAATATTTGCATTGAAGAAGGAGACATAATAGTTAATATTTAGTAAGATCTAAAATTATGACTACTGTGCTAAGAATCTTAAATGCATTATGTTATTAAAATCTTCCCTCAAATCTATGACTATAGTATTATTGTTATCTCTATTTTCTTGATGAAAAAACAAACTCAGAGAAGTCTCACAACTGGGAAGTGACACAACCCAATAGTTGAACTGAGACTTTTTTGATGCCAAAGGCTATGATCCAATCACAACTCCATCCGGCCTCCCATTCATTCACCCATTCATTCTTCAGCAAACACTGACTGGTTGCAGGCTACTTGCCAAGTACTATTTTGAGTGCTGGGGATAGAGCTGTAAATATAAGTAGATAAAGTCCATATTCTAAAGGAAGTCAACATTCTGGGTGGAATAGAGTGGAGATTATATACAAGTATCAATGAGAAGATAATATACATGGAAATTCACTGCAAGACACAGATATTAAAAAGACAATAAATGTTTCTTGTCCATACCAGAACTGCCAGTAAAATTCTAAATAATTTACCAAAGTCCTTTCTTGTTTCCTGACGTCAACCTAAGTTTAGTCTTTAATACTGAAGAAATGACAGATATATTCTAAAATTTAGAAAGAAGCTGCAGTGTTCTGGCAATTGATCTAAATCACATATGGCAACTTATACATGTAGAAGTGAAGCGCTTGAAAGAAAAAGAACAATTGCATCTGATAGAGCACTTGGGAACCACTCAGTGGGAAGGCTGAATCTGAACACCATTAGAATGGGAGACCGGAGGCAACAGATGGGAAGTGGGGAGGGAGGATC